TCCCCGTGTGGGGGGGGGGGGGGTCCAGAAGGAGGTAGAGAAACAGACAGAGAAATTCTCTCTGATTTGTGAATGATTCTTACAGATGGCATTGACAGGCATTGTGTGAATCTAAAACACAATGCTTTGGGATTAAAGGAATAGTTGACCCTAAAATGAAAGTTTCCTTAGCATTGCATCACTCGCTCACCAATGGATCCTCTGCAGTGAATGGGTGCCGTCAGAATGAGAGTGCAAACAGCTGATAAAAACATCACAATAATTCACAAGTAACGTCTTTTGAAGTGAAAAGCTGCATGTTTGAAAGAAAACGTTGATAAACTTTTAAACCATTGTTTCTGGTCAAAATATACCAGTCCATAATCCATAATAACACTTCCTCCACTTAAAAAGTCCATCCCATGTTGTCCTCTCACTTCAAAATCCACCAACATATGCATTTAGAACTGTTCTGAACTGTTTTCGCTTGTAAACGGTGTTTGTGCTGTGCATATTGCTCTCCTGATTCAGACGAGATGGCTTTTTCGCTATGGATAGACTCATTTTACCTGGAAATAACTATTTGAAGTTAAAAATCTCTTAATGATGCATTCATTACACACATGCAATTTTTCACTTCACAAAAGCCCTCTCAATTACTTGTGATGTTTTTATCCATTTATTGGGCTCTCATTCTGACGGCACCCATTCACTGCAGGGGATCCATGAGCAAGTGATGTAATGCTAAATTTCTCCAAATCTGTTCTGATGAAGAAACAAACTCAATCTACATCTTGGATTGTCTGAGGGTGAGTACATTCTCAGCTAATTTAATTTCTGGGTGACCACAAAAACTCAAGCTAACCAATTTCAGGTCCCAAAGTTTTTCTCTGAAATTTATCTGAAAGAACTATTTTGGATGCCAAACAAATCTGAATATACCATCGTCTTAGCAATACTGCTGGAAGTCTTTCAGCATTATAGTTCATGACTCCTTTAGGGAAAAACAGGACAGGACAAAAGAACAAGAGAGATAATTGGAACAGATTGTGTGAAGAAAGGAAATAGGAGCATTGTCACCTGTCCCAAACAGTCTGTGATGCTGTTGCCATGAGAGATGGCCAGGTATCAGATAACACCAGCTCAAAAAATGAACACTGTGAGAGAGAAGAGTGTTGGTGAGAGTTTATAAGTTTATATAGCTGATTCTGTTCCTGTGCAATGGTTTTATGTCATATTTTGTCATTAACAACGTACAAATAAAAATGTGATGGTGATTGAAACCACTCAAACATGCCTCACACTGAGCAACAATAAGAAGCGGTAATAAAAAAATATGAACCTCTCAAACTGAGCCTTATTAAAAAGTATGACCTCTCACCTTTGGGGGTTTGAAAGGAGGGGTGCTTAACCCTGAATAGCAAACAGAGCTGGATTTGTAACCTGAACCTCCCCCCACGCCCCCACTAATGAGAGGTCAAAGGGCAAACGCTGCTCCTCGGCTGTGTTGCATACCTGTGTGTGTGTGTGTGTGTGTGTGTGTGTGTGTGTGTGTTTCATTTACTAGTGAGGTTTTGATGATATATATGAACCAGACCTACTGTGTGACTTTGTAAGTGTGAATGTGCAAATGTAAATGTAAATTTAGAGTGCCAGATATACTTGCAGACAAGGGAATGTGAATACCAGCATTTATTTGAAGCATTTTCCCTCAGTTTGAACTCTAAAGCTTGCACTGAACAGATCAGTTCCAGGAGATGTGCATAAATGCTGTTAAGTTGAACTTGAATTAAAACTATCTTCCCATAAACCTAAATAACATCAAATTGTTTCATCAAACTCTCATTCTTTGCCTTCTGGGATATGAGGCTGTCATTCATCTTTACTGAACTTTGACCTCTGCAATTTCTTTGGTATGCCTGCCGAGAGAGAGAGGGAAGAAGAGGTACTGGGATGATACGTACAGCAAGTTTTGTGCAGTTACAGGTCACTAGTTTTCAGATAAACATAGTGTGTTTCTGTAAACAGCTACAGATTCAACTGGGCAACAATTCAAAAGGATGCAAAAGCATTTCTAGGGTAATATGGGGGTAGGGTTATAGTCTGGAGTAATTATAATGATTTTTAAATAATTATTTTAAAATAAAACCATTGAAGGTATGTCTTCAGATAAATGTGTTTGTGTAATTGAATGGCTCAGGTTGTTAAAATTAAGAGGATGCAAGGATTTCAGTAAAACACACACATACATAGGGGTTAATCTATGCCCCCCGGTGAAACTGGACCACAGAGGTAGACAGCAACTGGGTTGTTTTTCATTACTTCTTCTGTCAGCCCACACACACACCACTCTGTAAGAGTGCAGGACAGACATTATTCTTCAGTTAATTTAATGGCATTTTATCTTGTCGTTCCAGATTCTGAGCTGAAACCATCTGCACTGCATAGAAGAACATAAGAACAAGACAGAATTACAGTACTTGACAAACAAAAATAGTTTACTAATAAATAGTAGGAAATGGATCATATATATTTTACAAAGTGGGGCGCTTCTTATAAACTTAATTTGTCCGTTTGTGGAAAAAGCAGATAGATGTCACTGACTGGCGCCCTCTTCCTGTAGTACGAAAATATGACACTTTGAGTCTGCAGATTGCCAGACTGACAGGTTATATTTGGATCATTGTGCAAGTAATACACATATTTTAGAAAATTTTTGGCATTGAGAAAAAAATTCTAAATTCTAAAACAACCCCTACTACACGTTTGATGAATATTTATTAATTATTATTATTATTGTTAATACTTATGAATACTATCAATATATAAATACTATCAATATTATTAATATGTCTAATTATTTTCTTTCTAATTATAATCTTACAAAAGTAAGATGTGTAAATCAATAATCCAATTCGTATTTAATTTCAAATATGTCATCTTCTCTCATCGCCTGATTGTTTTTTAGCATCCTTAAATGACGCAAACCTTAAAACACAGAATTATTTTAAGGACAACGGAGACTGATTGTACTGTACTGTTAATGTTATCGTTACAATAACAACATTTTTGTTTCCATCCATTTAACTTATTCACCATAGTTAGCCTACTTTCTGCTGTAGGCTATTTTAAATGTTTTTGCTTAAGTTTATCAGTAATTAAATTCAAGTGCAAAAAAGGGCAATGAGATTATCATTGTAGGTTGTGACTTATTTTCCTTAAAAATTTAAAGCAGGAACTACATGTACCGTTTTCCATTTTAGTGCTTTAAAACATATGCCTATTACATTCAGTGTTGGGGGTAACGCATTACAAGTAACGCGAGTTACGTAATCAGATGAACTTTTTTATTTTATAAACAAACAAGCAAGTCCTATCCAGACTTTAAAAGTAACGCAAAAGTAACGTAACGCATTACTTTCCGTACAAAGTAACTAAATAACGTAAGTAGTTACTTTTTTATGGAGTAACGCAATATTGTAATGCATTACTTTTAAAAGTAACTTTCCCAACACTGATTACATTCTGTTTTCTTCGATCTGGCTATAGGCTATTGTTGTTTTCAAATCAGAAGCAAGCAAACCAATCAAATAATCTCAGCTCAGTTTATGTGCAAGAATAATAAGAATAAACTATAATCTAGTTTTGAAAGTTTTTGACGTTCTACGTAACAAATCAAGCCACAATATAGGCCTGTAGTAAGTATATGAATTTGTTGACATCTAATTACGAGCCCCACCCCAGTCGGTTAAAACTGTTGCTCCGCCCCTGCAGGTCTGAAAATAAAACAAATGCAATTAAATCATGTTTAAAGTGCATTCAACAATGCAACTCTTACTGAAAAAATTTTGCTGTTTAAAACGAATTAAAATGAAAATAAAAGCTCCCGTAGTCAATATTGTTTTAAAACTTGAACTGGTAGCCTAATAGTAGTACTGGATATAGCTTTTTATCTCTCAAGCGGCTGCAAAATTAGCGGTGGATTCTCCTCCGCTCAGTCTTTCATTTACACCTCACAGAAAACTCATAAACACACACACTCAGTGAAAAGAAAACAGTTTACACCTTCACAGTGGTGGAGCGCGGACTACTAAACATGAAATACGATGACATTTATGTTGCACTTATAAGGATGTTGTGTGTGTGTGTGTGTGTGTGTGTGTGTGTGTGTGTGTGCATGTTTATGTGGTTTATGAGGACCCAAATTTAAACCATAAAAACAAACCTGTGTGTGTGTGTGTGTGTGTGTGTGTGTGTTTGTGTCCTCACCTTGTATCCTCACAGTAGCCCATTGGGCTGCGGTGTGTGTATGAGCGCGCGCGCTTCTGTTGGTCCGTAAAACATCTTGAAATGATCATGATCTGAGAGCGGGCACGCCGCCGTGCTGGGGGCAGGTAGAGGATCGGGAGGATCTGGTGTGGGATGGAGGGGGTGCATTTTGCTGATCATACTACCGTAACCTGAGCTGCCATCGGCCCATGTACTGTTCAGGACAGAAGAGACAGAACGTTTTAGGCACAAATTGGTTAGAAATTTTAGAATATATTCGTGCACAACATACTAATAGCCTACTTAACTGGGTCACACTTCACATTATACTGTGCATTTATAAAAGCAATTAATACTAATTAGCCTTATACATTAATTTGTGATAAATATAGCTGTTTGCAAAAACAAGGTGTGAAGTGACAAAAATAATACATTAAAGCAAGATGCAATATGGCTAGGCCATATGAGTTTTGTGTTTATGACTTCAGCAGCAGAAGCTCATATTTACTAATTATGTACAATTCTGATTCTGGTAGAATATTTAGATTAAGTAGATTATTCTAAAACGTAACATCTGCTTGTTGAGTAAAAAATGTTTGTTCAATAGCATTAATAAACCATTAAGAAAAAAGAGAGGGGCGCAGACAATCGCCCCCTGACAGGACACGAGTGATTGTTTTTACAGGTGTTGAGAGGCCAATTAAAGATTACACTGATACTAATTAGCATTAGGGGATATTTAAGGTCCAAAATCCTGACACCGCCCTAAATGTTTCGGGGAAAAATGAGTGGAATATTTTTCCACAAAGTAAAATAACCTCAGAAGGGCCAGCTGGATTTCCCGGTGTCATGTTACGGATATCTTCCGAGATATAGAGCTGTGACCGGGAGACTAAGAGCTCCTCAAGCTCACAAGTTATTCGCTAATGGATCGGTTTAGTGTTTCAGACCCAGCTTACAAAACCACACGGATCTTCTCCGACGGCGGGGCGTTTTCAACAGGATGAATTTATTAATATAGGCTACACTGCTAAAATAAATATTATTAAATTGATCATATTCAGCTAAAAACATCATCTTAACAAAAAACAAACAAACAATACAATTTTAGTTTTATGGTGTTCTTGAGTTTCTTTATGGTTCTTTAGAGATTAAAGAAGTTCTTGACATTTCAGTAAGGTTCTTACTGGAAACATTTTACATTTTTGGGGACATTCTTAAGAGGGTATGGCCTTATAACTATAATATACAGTACATACACAAGATAACTGACAGAAGTAAAGTCGATGTAGATTTAATTACATTCAGTTATAGTCGATATAAGTAGATTCATCAATAAAATAAGATTATTCTCTCTCAAGGTCAAGTAAATTCAACTGACAGAATGAACTTGAATCAACTCATGGAAGGAAATATTTGCACATTTGTGAATCATTATAGGTATTGTATAATTTATTAATTAGCAAAACGAAGTCAAGAATAATTTATTAGAATATCACAAACTACTTAATACTTAATTTCTGCGATGTGTCACTGAATTACATTAAAAAATATTCGGAAACGTATGTTTTTCTGCATCTCCCGTTTAGCATATTTGACACTCTTGAATCTGTCCTTACACGTTCACGCAATTAATAAGCTGTGAAAATGCCACCCAACTAGTAGCACACAGTGGTCTTGTAAATCAAATAGCTAGAACGGCTTTAACTCAAAGCACTAGTACAAATAATTATAGGTGAAATATATAGAAACTGTGATAGTATTGAGAAAAATGGAAGGCGATGTAGATGCTGCATGCAAGGCTATGGAGGTGCTTGTGATAATTTAATAATTGTTTAGTAGCCTATCAACTGCAGTGTGTGTGTGTGTGTGTGTGTGTGTGTGTGTGTGTGTGTGTGTGTGTGTGTTCAAGGTCTCCAGTTTCAGGCCTTGACGTCCGTCCTCCGGGGAGGAAACGAAACGGATCTGTAGATGCAATTCTGCTCTGCTGGCCGGTTTCAGAACAGACCGGGGCGAGCTAATCACGGAATGACGCTGTGCTGGATTTCTCTGTCATATATCCATACGGACAAACCGCATCCGAATCTCACGTGTGCAACCCCGGAGGGTGACAGTGGTGCCACACAACCGGATAACAGGCGGTTATCAAAATTGGAGCTGCAGCAAGAGATAAACGTGGCACGGGGATTTTTGTCCGAGGACTCATTTGAGAGGAATACCTACAGAGCCTCGGAATAGGAGGGTATTACGTGGTGGACTGCACCGGGCCGCAATGTCAATCTTGCCCTCTTTCGGCTTTACGCAGGAGCAGGTCGCGTGCGTCTGCGAGGTGCTGCAGCAGGGTGGGAATCTGGAGAGGCTCGGACGTTTCCTTTGGTCCCTACCAGCCTGTGACCACCTCCACAAGAACGAATCCGTGCTGAAAGCGAAGGCCGTGGTGGCTTTCCACCGGGGAAACTTCCGTGAGCTCTACAAGATCCTGGAGAGCCACCAGTTCTCCGCGCACAACCACCCCAAGCTGCAGCAGCTGTGGCTGAAGGCGCACTACGTGGAAGCAGAAAAGTTGCGGGGCCGCCCGCTAGGCGCTGTGGGCAAATACCGTGTGCGTAGGAAATTTCCTCTGCCCCGTACGATCTGGGACGGTGATGAGACCAGTTACTGCTTTAAGGAGAAGTCGCGGGGCGTGCTGCGTGAATGGTACACGCACAATCCTTATCCATCTCCACGGGAGAAGCGGGAGCTGGCGGAGGCAACGGGACTGACCACCACACAGGTCAGCAACTGGTTTAAAAACAGGAGGCAGAGAGACCGGGCAGCTGAGGCAAAAGAGAGGTGAGATATAGGCTAATAATAATACTAATAATAATACACACACACACACACATACACACACTATAACATACAGGCAGGCATACATACAGTTTTTGAGAGTAAGCGAACTGATATACAGGAAATAACGTTTTCAAAAAATAACGCGCAAAATTAGCGTTGATTATTGCAGTCACTGGCAGAGAGAACAACAATAAGTTAGGTATTTATCGTTATATCAGAAATATTATATTGTCACTCAAATTTAACTGTAAATACGAATCTAAGCAACATCAAGTTACACTGTCTAATTTTATAATTAGTATATTTGTCATTTATAATTTAATACTTTATATATTGCCTATTTTTAATTTTATAATTCGGTTAAGATTTTTTTTTTTAAAGTCCTTTTTTTCTCTAACGAACGAAACAATAAAACCAGAAGACGAGAGGTAGATTTTTCTTGCTGCAGTGAGAATTTATTTAGGCCTGTATTCATATAATTTAATTGTAGATTTTAAATGTTGGCGTTAATATAAATGTTGGTTTACTTTGAATGATATTCTCTAAAACTGTCTCGAATTCTAGGCTGAAAAGCCTGAAGTTTTTCCATTGTAAATCTGTGATGACAGTTACCTTTTCAGTCATCTTGACATACAGGCGACGTAAATTGCTGTGTGAACAGTTATGCGTTTATTTTTTCTTGTGTTAAAAACATAAAGCAAATATAAAACATTCGTTTTTCTTTGATGTAATAATTATTGTAAGATTCAACTATTTTGAAACCATAGCACTAGGCCTTGATGTTAAAGTTTATCACTTTCTTATAGGCTTCTATGTAGCCTAAGTCTAGGCCTATAACATGTCAGTTATATGTTAAAAATGTAATATTCACCCAACAGAGAAAACAGCGAGAACAGCGGCGTTGGCGGTAAGCAGAGCCAGCGGTCTCCGCTCGACGGAGTGAAGTCGCTCATGACCAGCTCGGAAGATGAGTTCACTCCGCCGCAGAGCCCCGAGCACAACCCAGTGCTTCTACTGCAGGGGAACATGAACAATCCCGGGGCTCCAGCATACCCAATGCCCGGCCTCGGTGCGCAGCATTCGGTGCATAGCATGCATGGACATCCGCATCAGATCCAGGATTCACTATTGGGATCTCTAACAACCAGCCTTGTGGATTTAGGATCTTAGGACGTCTCGTTCACATTTTAAGCGACAAGACTTAAAAACATAAATAACCAATATTTACGGTGTTACCGCATATTCTTATGACACAGAGGACGTTTGCTGAAATAAACTATTATTTTGCAAATTATTAGAAAAAGAGAGAAAATCAAAAGAGCTTCTGGAATTTTGAGTAGCTGGACAAGTGCGTAAATTTTGTAAAACATGTGAGGCCAATATTTACGAATATTCACATTGTTGGATGCATAAAACTTTAATAATTTATGATGTTTTACTAAAATATTAATTTATAGAAATTGTTCTGTATTGGACTACGAAGAGCATGGATTTTTAATGAGAAAATCATTGGCTTCAAACATCTTTAACTAAACTCTGTGGATGTGGAAACTTCTCGTTCTTTTTTATTTAGTTTAAATGTATGTAACACTACATTTAATTAGTAATTTGTTTTTGAAAACAGTGGCTTTCCAACATGAGTTTTTAAAATCAAATATTGTCCACATTTTCACGTCAAGTCAGCGCTTTAAACATTTATATTTTACTTGGAAAAGCCTGTTAACCAAAATATAGAAAATAGAAAATAGAAAATAAACTACAATAAATAAACAAACACAAAGGCTCAAAATAACAAAAATATGCCAATCCACGTGACACGTCCGAGCCGAAAGAGGGCATGAGCGCGTGAAAAATGAGAACGCCTGAAACATCAACAAGAAAAATTGGCCCTTATGCAGAGGGCTGAGAGACGCCAATAGGCGCCAGGCTGCGCACAGGGCCGAGTTTGACTTTTTGACCATTGTTCAGTAAAACGAAATATAAAAAAGGCCAAATCGGACACATTGAGTCACTTTACGCCTTGTAACTATAAGTTTGATAAACATTTATTAGTTCATTACACTGACCGACTTAACAAAAATGAGAGAAATGGAGACAGAGGGAGAAAGGGGGAGTATTGCTGATTTTTTTTTCTTTTTGTTATGTCAGTTCTGGGTCACTGAAAATTGACACGATCCACAAGAGCCTCTCTAAAGACCCTCCACCCAAAACGCCTCGTCCACACCATACCACTACAAAACATTGTCAACCCAATTTAAAACAAGTGTGAACTTTTGTTTCTTTTTTAGCGAAAACTCCAGACACTGAAAAGCAAATTAAATTTTCTACATTTCCAGCTCCGCGTATGAAAACCAACATTTCTGGAATATTCGGCAGTGATCAGCACGAATTCGCCTCTTTCTGTCTCTTTTACGTCGATAGTCTCGTGTCAGTGTAAATGGATTTGAACAGAGAGCGCAGAGGGTTTCCGGGCCATAATTAGAACCATTTTCCTGGTTTAGAGGGCCTTGATTGCAGGAATGAGGGGGACACCCTTCCAGCCTCAAGCCACAGGGTGTTGCACAACAGAAATTTATCTTCAGGGTTCAGTAAAGTCTAAAATCAATCAATCTATCTATCTATCTATCTATCTATCTATCTATCTATCTATCTATCTATTCAAATATGCTATTTGAAAAGCATATTCAATATTCACTGTCACTTTTAACAATACATAAACACAAGCGATTTTTTTAAAATATCTTTAGGATTGGTAATAAATATCATATCATGCCTGGATGGAAATTCTTCCCCCAATAAGGCAAATGCTGGGCATGAATGTCAGCTGTGGTTTTAATCAACAGTCTAATTATATTTTGCACATATAAACATTCCTTACATCTGCTTTCCTTATATTGGTAGTTTATACAAACCGAGAAATTGAGAAATCCAAATAGCAAAAAGGTTTCTTTTGATTTTTCTGTTGGTGATGTGGCCAGTTCTGTGTTTCGTCAACCAATTGGTAGACCATAGTTTGATAACAGAGTAAAAGTTAAAAAAAAGTATGAATCAGCTTTGATTTGTTCATGATAATCAAACCCCGGCCAAAGTGTCATTATTAAACATCTTTTTGTTTAATTTTTCACAATGAAGTTTATTTTTTCACACTGAGAACATAGGATAAAAAGCATCCTTACACTGTTACACAATAAATCTCAAACAATCGATTGAGATCAATTCTTTTTTCATTAAAGGTCAGAAATTTAAAAGAGTGCAAGTTTTTGCTTTTTTTTTTTTGCATAAGGGGCTACATAGAGTATTGGTTAGATTCTGATGTCATAAGTGTTGTTACCATTCTCTAGCACAGACAAAATGTTGTGAAATACTTCTGGTGGCAAACCTTTACTATGTGATAGTACATACACTATAGGATCTGTTTGTCAGATAGCTTCTCCTGCCCAGGTAGTCACTCATCCAGAACTCTCAAGGAAACTGACCCTTAAATGGGTTTTTGGGGGAGGGGGGCCGCACTGAAGGAGCTTTTAAAGTGATTCTCAAGAGAGCCAGAAGAGGGGGATTCTGTTACCAATGATGCATGGACCTGACAACACTTCAACCAGCCAGACCCCCGACAAAGACTAACATGTGTTTGTGGGAAAGGGATATAGGCGATACATCAGTTTTGAAATCTACTTTTCTGAAGGTCACTGAAACTGAAGCAGCCATTACTCACTTACAGTATTTAAGCAGGACACACACATACACACACACACACACACACACACACACACACACATCTCAGAGATAAGATAATGCTTATATTAAATATCTAACAAGAGGAACTGTATGTGTAGAAACTTGCATTTGCATTTGTGTCTCTCAAATGAAACAAAAATGAATAATTTAACTGCTTTAGGTTTGAAACATATGTATTTTCATATTTGTACATTGTCTATTTTCATGTTTTATTTTATATCCCTTTTAATTTTTACTATGCACTTTTTTTGTTAAATAAATACATTACACAAACATTAAATATTTTATAACAACAACCGTAATAATAATAATAATAATAATAATACATTTAATAATGTTACAAAAATATTTTTTTATTTTAATTTTGTTTAAATTAATATCAGTTATTCATAACATCTTGCATTAAAAAGATGCATCTTTAAAAACAATGCCTGTCAAAAAACAGAATTAATTTAGGCAGCTCTTTCAGGCTTGGATGCATAAAGCCAAAGTTTCACTCCCCAGAGAGAGGGAGAAAGAGAACAGCATAAAACCCTAGATGGCTCCATTAAAGAAAAAACTCAGGAAATGAAAACAGAAATATGATAGCTTCCTGTTTTTCATTGGGACTTGGAGCATTCTCTTTTTGGGGTATAATTACTACAATGAGATCAGTGTGATATAGTTCAAATCCTTAGACACACACACTCATCTTGTAGTCTAATCCAGGTTTCTCTGGCGTGCTGCTGCTGGCTGACATTCCAGTGGCAATTTTTTTTTTTTTTTTTTGTCTTCCTGGATCGCAGTGATCTAGATTCACATTGATTATGGAATTCCGGTAAAGATATCAGCGGGAGAATTGGACAAACTACACAAAACAGTTTCCCAACAGGCATTACAAAAGGGCTTCTCTTCTCTCATCTTTTTCTTCTCTTCTTACTTTACTCTTTGGCTATGTGAACATTTATGTGATTAACTATGTAGCTAATTATTTAACTTAAAGATTCAAACAGCATCATAATTAAACATCAACATACAAAATTTCAATGAAGAGACTGATCTATTTTCCTGATAAAACAGGAGGGAATTCAAGAGAATCCGCACACACACTTTTCTCTTATTTGTCCATCACCCACATCTTGTACACTTTGTTTTTGCTAACACAATGACGCTGTGGTCTTGACACATTATCTCATTAGCAGGAGCTGGAATTACTGTGGCTGCAGGGTTGTTTACCACAGTGTCTCTTCTGCCCTCTGGTGGTTATGTTAAGCACCACAAAGCATCAGAGAGGCTAGTGTTTGGACGTTTGTTATTCTATTCAAAGAAAACAACAGATTATATGTAAAACAAAACAAAACAAGCGATTTGTTCTGGTGACAGAAGCTTCCAGTACGCAACAACAACACACAAATAATAATAAAGATATGTGAATTAAATACACACACACACACACACACACATATATATACACATACATGTGCATATATATATATATATATATATATATATATATATATATTTGTATGTAAAGCTGTAGTGTTTTTATGTTTATCCTAATGCATGCTTGATGATCTTATCTTATGTTTACTTATGCAAATTAACGATCGCAGCGCGATCGCTGAGTCATGCTATTATATTAGCCTTAAGAGCTAACAAGCATGAGCGGATTGTTTACACATGTACATTTGGGTATTTAACACCCCTAACACCATGTGAGGTTGAGATAATATATTTAAGAATGTTTCTTTATCGCTTCCATTTGATATTTATATCTATATTTGATAATTGAGTGTATTTGTTACTATGGTTCCAGTTTTAGTTATTTGCATTGTGTAAATCTGTACTCAATAATTCTCATTCTACATTGTAATTGCATTTTATTATTTGTTGTTACAGACCACAACGTAACGGGTACTCTACCTCAATGTGCCTTATATAATTTAATAGTTGTTGCTGCTTGTCTGGAATAAATGGCAGTGTTATTGGAGACACACTCATCCTGTGCATGATTCTTTAACTGGAGTCAAATCCATGTTTGCCCGCTATGATACCAGACATTGAGTAAATGTTGGGAGGTGCTACCTAACAACCCCTTTAAGACTGCACCAGCCAGCCAGCTGCTCAACCTCGCTTCTTCATGCAGACTTATCATCCTGGATAAGGCCGATGACTGTAGTGTCATCTGCAAACTTCAGGAGCTTGATAGAGGGGTCAGTAGAGGTGCAGTCGTTGGTGTAGAGGGAGAAGTGCAGTGGGGAGAGAACACATCCCTAAGGGGCACCAGTGCTGATGGTGCAGCTGTTTATTATTATGTACATTAATTTCCCCAGTCTCACTAGCTGTTGCCTATCTATCAGAAAGCTGGTGATCCACTGACAGATAGAGCTAGGAACAGAGAGCTGGGTTAGTTTGGTCTGGAGGAGTGCTGGGATGATTGTATTAAAAGCCGAACTGAAGTCCACAAACAGGATCCTCACATAAATTCCTGGTTTTTCTAGATGTTGTCTAGATGTTGTAGGATATAATGCAGTCCCATGTTGACTGCATCATCCACAGACCTGTTTGCTCCATAAGCAAACTGCAGGGGGTCAAGAAATACAAGAAACAGGAAAGAAATACACCTTAGAGATACAAACAATTATAGGAGGTTTCTGTGTATAAGTTCTTTGAGGGCAACGCTTACAAGTTGAGATATTGGTGCATGAACTGCAGACTGGCT